AAGATACATGTCAAGATTAACTAAATAAAAATGTTTTCGAGTTAGCTTTAAAAGTCTGCAAGTCCCTGGATTTGCGTATAATCATGGCTACCGCAAATGCTCAGTCACCAAATGTTTTACAGTTCATTTGTGGAATCACAAGGAGATGTTGATCATCATTACACAGAGCATAGCACCCAGGAGCCTTCAAGCCGACGAGCCGTCATCAGAAATTACAAGCCTTTTAACTTATGAATTTGTGTTAGAGATATGATGGTTCAACCACAGTGTGCAAGTCTTCTTATTGACACACTCTAATCAGCCAATCAGCTTGCAAGGACTCACACTTAAGTAATACAATTCAGAATTCAGTCCCCTGCTCTTGTTTATAATTACCTCATAAGAGTTGTCAAAAAAGGTAAAAATTGAACTGTGCCAGTGTTTTTCTTATCCAGAATTGCCTTGCAGGTCACTCTGAAATTGATAAAAAAAAGAGAGAAAAACTTAATGGTGCAAATCCTAGACAGRTTAGATCCTGTAGGATCTTATTTAGGAATGGGATTTTAAATAGAATCCTATGTAGGAACAGGATCCTAACTAGGATTCCATGATTGCACCAGGGATCCCCCCCCCCCCCCTTAAAAAAGAAAAACATACATATAAGAACAGTTATTTAAGAACAAAAGGCATAGGTTCCTCCCGATTGCAGGACTCTAGCACACTTGAACCAGATATTCTTTAAATGTTGAAATACCAAATGAATCACACAAGAAATGTCATGATTTTAAGATTAATAGATAGTAAATATTCTCCATGCCAACTGTTTAGCGTCACCAAACCTCCATTGGTAATGATCACAAGTTTTTCTCAAATAAAGCTTAGACTTAGCTCAGAACTCCATATTTTTGTGATTACATCTTGTATACGTGTTTTAATAGTTCAGAGTCATTTTCATTCTGAATTCATGGATACATGAATACACTACATGGATACATGAATACACTACATGGATACAATAAAACTTACGTTTTTAGCCTTATAAACTATAACTTATTATATGATCAGTTAACTAGAGCATAAACTTACGTTCCTGAGAGAAAGAATCCAATTGTGAGAATAGTAGCTAGCCATGATAGAATCCATATAATCATTATGAACAGAAATATAAGTTATTCAATTAATACAAATCGAAAAAAGAGAGAAAACGTCTAGTTGTCTAATTCTTTTGCATGATTTCCAAAACCATTTATAAACATTAACGTGAGCCCGCGGTCAAAGTCGACACACAGGAAGCCCGAAAGTTATATCCACAGGGCACCCAAACAAAGGAAATGAAATGATTCAAAAATTGCTTATATGTTGTGGACTATTTTTGATAGTTTTAGGTTAAGTCCAAAAAAATGGTGTCCTGCGGCACTTTGAAAAGCAGGGATAAGGGGGGAGGGGGTGCACTTTCAGGGACTCACACTTTCACGAAGTTCCACAACGTCACAGTTTTGGCATCAGACTTCTCATTCTTGCTGACTGAATTTTTCCAAAGTTCTTCCCCACATATGTTCACGTGAGGAAGTCTGTGTATGTGTTACATCAGTGAAGTCATATGGCGAGATCTTCTCGTATCCCGAGTATTTTCAAAACYACATTTTTGATACGCTTCTGAGKTCACACGAAAAGTTACTTGAACGGACCTACCATTTCTGTAAATATAGTTGTAGAAACGTTTAGATTTCGCCTTAGACACGGAATCCGCTGGTTTTTGTTGGGTCGATCAAGCATCCAAAACTCCTTAATTTCGGATGCTATGCCAAATTTTAGCAAGGATCAGTCCGGTATTCCATCAAAGTGCATTCCGGATGTCGGAGCTTAAATTTACAGGATTCCTGATCATAAGCGATTCGTTTTTAGAGAAATTTGGATTAACGCTTTGCGAATGCCAAATTAACGTCAAACTGACTTTAAGTTTGATTTAAAAATTTCAGAAAAAACCGCCGTTAAAACTGTTCTATGCTCCCAAGAAGAGCATTGATACAAAAAAAAAAAAGAAATGATTATTACGTTATTGAGTAGTTTTGACGATTGGCATTCRCAGTAAATGTGAATCTAAAACACCCTTACATTTTAACCTAATTCGGACACACGAGGCGCGCAAAGCATCCAGGGTGGTACTAGACCTTTAAGTAACAATGCGCGTAAAAAGCAGGCAACCTTCTATTGTTCTGCGGCAATTGCAACTTCCCCACATACAAATGTCTTGGTTTTCACACTGATTATATATCAACCTATGGGTAACACATTTTGTGGATAAACTCTGTTTTGAAACAAAAGTTTCTTTTGTATTAAAAGATCTTGTCCAATGATAAGCACTCAAAACAAAAGCCAAAAGATGCTTCTAATTTGCTTTGTTCCCCACATAGAATTGCTATTAATATTAAAGCTAAGGAAAGCTTTTATGAAGTTAGAATCAGATATTAAATAAAATATTAAAAAATGCGATTACTTTTGAAATTATGTCAGATTTTAATATTTTAACCAATGAGATGGATGGATTATACACCCTTTTAATAAGTCCCGAGGTATTGTTTTCTCCGCACTTGACGTCAAATTTATTCTTTTGAAATTTTTACAATACAAAAGGAATTGAAAAGAATAAATTTGACGTCAAGTGCGGAGAATGTAATACAACGGGACTTATTAAAAGGGTGTATACAATACACAATTAGCACCTTCATGCATTCCATTGCCGTTTGCTTGCCTGCTTCTTACTCGGACCATTACTTAATACCATTCTTTTAACACAAAGTTACTATCTAATGACAGTGCATCATTAGAACGTATTCGCATAACCCACTTTTTAAATGCTAATGAGTTTGCTAATATTCTAATGAGATTGGCACAAGAAACAAAAGAGCAAAAACATGCTTGAGTGATTTCAGTAGCGAATATTATTTCAAAACTATTTTGAGCTCAGTTCAATAAATGCAAAATTTCAAAAGGAAACATTTTTATTTAAGCTATACAGCTATCTCAACTTCTCGTAAACTACTTCAAGTAATTAGATTAGACACGGCAAAACATCGACGTCTGAAACGGACCTCATTGTCCAGAATTGGTTTTGATTCCAGTATCGACGGGTTGTGGAAGTCTGCAATRCTTGTTTTATAATTCTTCMCATGCGYCCAATTTATTTAAAAAAATTTAAATCAACATTATGAACCCCTTAAAACAAACGATCTGTTGGCATTCAAAATAAGGAATTTTCAATATTGTAGCCAATAACTGTCCGTTTGAAATTGTGTATTTATTGAACTGAGCTCAAAATAATAATATTTTGAAATCACTCAAGCATGTTTTTGCTCTTTTGTTTCTTACGCCAATCTCATTTTAGAATATTAGCAAAACTCATTAGCATTTAAAAAGTGGGTTATGCGAACACGTTCTAATTAAAGAGTTTTCGTGAATATACAATTTTTACAGACTTGAAAATCGGGCAAATTGAATTTTACATTTTACATATTATTTAGTGTCTAATTGGTCTTCTTTGCTGACTTTGTTGGAAATATAGCAAAAAGAGAAAGTTG